GTTAAAATTAACTGTTTCTCTCATCCTACTTTTTGGAAAATCTTCAATTATTTTGAGCAGAAACTCGTCAAGATTTATAACCTCTGACAATCTTATTAATTCTTCTGATTTGGTTTTTTCTAATATATTTGAAAAAGATTTCTTTGAAGAAATCAATTTTAACTTAAGCTTCAGATTGTTATGTCTTAAGTTTTCCAGAAATTTAAGTAAATGCTAATCAGCAAGAGCTTTTTGAATTTTTTTAAGTTCATTAATTTAAGGAACTCCCATTATTTAATACATTAAAATCATGATTTCTTTAAGGAATAAATTGAATTCAGAAAAGGTGCTTAAAATTTCATTACTCTTATTTTCATAATATTAACAAAGATTATTTACTTTATTCTAAAAATATTGAAATAAATTATTTTGAAGCAAATCTATTTCTAAATTTTAAATTTCTTTTTTATAAATTTCAATCAACTTTTCAGCTTCTTCCACAATTTTGATGGTATTTTAGTAAGGTAGTTTAAGAAATGATAATTTATGTTCTTCAATTTTAAATTCTTCCAAAATTAATCTTCTCATCTCCTAAATTACATTATTATCATCATTAATATTTTGGTGTCTTTCAACTTCAAGACAATATAGTTCTAATATCTCCTATATACCCAATAGCGTATTAAGATTATCAAAATCGTTACTTTCATTTCTCTGTTTTAATTTGCCAGAATTCAGCATCATAATTTTTATTATATACTAGATATTTTAGAAATATTCTTCTAAATTTTATATCATTTTTATTATTTACTATTATGAAATTATTAATGTCATACTCTCATTATATAGCTTATCTTTTGTAAAATTCCTAAACATTTTTATTATTTCTTCAAGTTTCTCATCATTTTATTTAATTAAAGTAAGTAACTTATTAGGAATCATAAACCCTAAAAACCTTTTGATATTTTTAATTGCAAATATAATTTCATTTTTTTTAATTTCTTTCAATTCAATAGCTAATTTGCTATTTAAATATGATCCAAATGTAAATGGAATATTTTAATATTGTTCATTTATGAGATAATCCTTAAGTAATAAGAAGACTTCCCATTCTTTAAAACATGTTTCTAATATTTTTCTATCAATTTAACTTAATTAATTATTCTAAAGTTAGTGAAGTTAGATGACTGCTTGATCATTTCTATTATTCATTTAGATTAATATTCCTTTTCTCTGATATTCCTTCCAAATTTAATCTGGCTTTAATCCTTAGTTGAAAGAGTTTATTATCTGAGATAATTTTTCTTTTGTTAATAGAGGATTATATTATAAAATTTTTCCGATCATTTACACCCATAGATAATGGTATTTCCATACATTTGAATTTTTCACAATTTTATCATGTATTTCCTAAACATGTAAAATTATTTCATCTAGATTTTACAATTTTTCATTCTTAAAATAGTTTATTATCTCCCATTACAACATATCTATTTAAAAATAAACTTCAAATTATTTTCTATTGTTGCTTACCGCATACAAATTGTAAAGATGACAGGCTCCCTAAAACAATGATTCAAACAATTCTTCATTTGGCTTCATATCAATTATCGAACGAATAATCCCACTTAAACATCCTTTTAAGATTTCTTCCCTTTCATTACTATTATTTGGTGAGATCTCAAAAGAAGTTTTTGTTAAGAAAAGATAGAGTTCCATTTAATTTTGAATCAAATCATTCTTCTCTATTTCCATTTGTTAATTGAGTTCATCAGAGATATCCAAAAGCTCCTGTTATAAATCACATTTCATAAATCTCCCTTAATTTAGCAAATGGAAGCTAAAAATGACTTTAGATAGAGATGCTGTTGTCTATAAGATATATAAACATTTAAAGGCATCTGTTCTAATGTAGACCAAACAACTTTTCAATAGTTTTCTGATTCCCTTTAAAATTAAATCGTATGATTTCACTACACTTTAAGCATTCTTATTGAGATTGTAAATAATTTCTTCTTAAAAAATAAACCATTATAGAGCTATCATAATTTCTTAAGATTCTGAGTTATCAGCAGATACTATAGCCTTAGTGCAAATTTTCTCAACATAAAAATTGAATTTATTAAAGAAATTATGAAGGTCATGATTATTCGAATTTGAGATTACTGATTATAGGTGGCTTATTTTGAAGTTCCGCAACCACCTCCACGCAAAATGATTCCATTT